AAACGGGAAAAAAAAAGGAAAATTTTAAGTTAAAAAAAATTTTAAAAAAAAAAAAAAAAAAAAAAAAAAAGCTCCAACTTTAACATCTCAAAGTGCTTTTAATTTGCGAGTTTGTGACCCGATGACCTTTAAACAAGGCATTTTTCTCTTTTAAACGGGATTTTTTTTTTTCCAATGCATGTTTTAGTCGATTAGCTTTGACAGCCTTCGGCGTCACTCGTCAACAAAAACCAACCGAATCACGTGGAAATAACCGATCCACCGCTTCTTTACTCACCTGCTCTCCGGGTTTAAAAAGGAGAAAAAAGAAAAACGTCGCTCCCTCCGATGTGGCTCAGTTCAGATCCCCGCCCCGATGCTGTGGCTCCAGCGGCTGCAGGCTGTGCGGTGTTCGGCTCTCCTCCCGCTCCGCGTCCCTCTCCGTGCGGTGGCTGTGATCTCCTCTGCTCTGGGGAGCCGCTGCTCGCCACTTTGTCACCGGTTTAGATGGGAAAACATGCCAGCCTCCTACCAGGCTCCTCACCCCCACCTCCCTCCTCCATCTGCCACACGCTGGGATGTCCTGTCTCTCCCTCCCTCCCTCTTTCTCTCTTTCTCTCCTGCACGCAAGCACTCACACATGCACAGAAAAGGACCGGGGTTCTGTCCTTGTTAATCTCCCAATAGGATGTTTTCCAAATCCTCCTTGTTGACAGCTTTCCTTCCACCCGTCCAAGGACTGCTGGGAAAAACACACCAAGAAGATTTGATTTAAAGGTGATGCTTTGCCCTTCAGTCCCAGAGGCTGACAAACAGGTGCTGAGTCACACCTGTCCGGGCACTGGGCTCCGTTGCTGACACGCTCTGAGGTCAGGACATTTCCCCCAGATGACAGGGTCAGAGGAGGTGGCGGATGAGATTTAATACTGGATGATATGCTGAGGGCAGAGAACACAGCTCTCCGCAGAACAAAGCTCGAGAAGCTGCTGCACTTTGCAAAATAATAATAATAAAAAAAAAACATTCCCCTTCATCCGACACAGAGATCATTTTCCTGTTCCCCAGTATTAAAAAAAGCAGATGAAGTTCTTACAGGACATTAATATGTTGTTTTGCAGACATGCTGAGGTGCATGAGCTGAACTGTTACGTAAACATGTCAGCAGGTTTACCCCGTGTGTTGTTGTTGCTCCTCTTGTAATCTCACATCCTCTTGGACCTGTTGTGCCAGCCTAATCCCTGGCTGGGTTCATCTCTTTCTCTCTGGCTCCAGAACGCTCCTACGGCTTTTGGCCCTAATGGCAGATGGGGACCGTCTTGTGGCCTAGATACAATGCCTTGCACTCATACTCCTTAAACTTTTTAACAGAGCAACTTCAAACCATTCACACTTTACCTTGCTTTTTCATGTCAGTACTGCTCAGATAGTAGAGTCCTCCAAATGTCTAATAAAAACAAATCTTTGACAGAATGGAATTTGAGAATATGAGAATGGAATATTCCAATTACCATACGTACTCTGACTTTGATCAACTTTTGTTCTTTATTATACTATGTAAATCCGTTTGTCCATTGTCAAGTAATGCCTGGTTTGGTTCTACTCAAGTTGGGTTCGTCTCCATTGATAGTGCGTTCCTCACTATGAGGGCATGACTATGGGCAGGAACCTGGTTGGGAATGTGGGAATATGTGCGGGCCATGAGTGTGCAGCAGCTGCGGTTGATGCTCCAATGATGTCTCTCGGTATATTTGTTTGTTGGGGTTGCCCCCTAAGGTTGACGCCATACGCAATCTTCCACCACAATTGGATAAAAAGCTTTGGACCTCAATGTTTGACCATGGAATTATCAATATGCAGCTTGCCATCTTGCCAACTATTACGGTCTCATAGCCTATCGAAAATGGTGGCTGAGATGTTGTTGTTTGAGGAGTTTGCAAGCACCGTCTTTGCCCATCCAAATCCAAGGTCCAAACAAATTAAGTCTGTTGCCAATCAAGTCACTTGCACAGAATGCTTGACCTTCCTTGTACCACCTTGGAGTGGTTCCAAAGACCAGGGGAAAATCTAGCCAGAGCTGATTTGGGAAGAACTGACTAAAGCCACACCAGAGCAAAAGAAGCTTCAAAAGCATAACGTTGATACTGACATGGTAGCTCTGGAGGAGCTGAAGAGATCCAACGCCAAGGAGGAAGAGTGTGTTGGTAAGACTACTGTCAGTTGCACACTCCACAGGCATTTATAGAAGAGCTGTAAGGAAAAATGTATTATCAAAAGAAAGCTGTGAAAAGACCAACTGATGAGACCAAAACAGAACTTAGTGGTTTCTAAGCAAGAAGTGTTATATTGGCAGAAAACTAACATATGCATGCTTATCTCCCTTAGCATATCCAGATATTTTCTATACCGCTCATGGAGACAGCAAGGGCTCACATGGCCCCTGTGATCCACCAGACTGTTTTGTAACTGTCCAGGGTAATCACCACTGAGCACTTTATTTCTGGGGGTGAGAGCGGTGGAGCGAGAGGCATACAGACAAACAGCTCTTCATCTGGTAATTAGAGACAAAATAACGATATCTTTGTGTGGGAGCTATTCAGGGAAGTGAGAGAGAGAGAGAAAGAGTGAGAGAGAGGACAAAGCAGGCCAACAGAGATCTCTGTGTGTACCCTCTTTCTCATTTAGCCAGGTTGGGGCACTGCCTGTGTTTAGACCCTGCATAGCCCCTCAGTTGCCATGTAGCCTCACTCGTCCTTTTGAGTGACTGAATCCCCTGTTTGGTATTTTCTTTGATTTGATCCACTGACCTATTTCTCCAAAATGGCGAACTCTTTAGTGGAAACCAAAGTCAAAGGAAGAAGGAATTCTCTGCGGATTCTTGTTTTGTTTTGGGGTTTTTTTGTAGATTCAGTGAATGACTGAACATTTATCATAAATATTTGATCCTCCTGGAAACATTGAGTTGATTCTTGTTGGAAAAACTTTAGTTGGCGAGTGTGAGTAAGGCCTTTCTCGTTGTGTGTCACTGGGTTTACACACCTCTCAGAATCCCACTCGTGTGTACCAAACACTTCTAAACCCTTTAGGTTTCTTAGCTTCCACTTATGTTCACCTTTCTACACTGATATCTGTAGGATTGAGATCTAGAGACTGACCAGGACATTCCTTGATTTCAGGGTGTCCTCTTCTCAAGCCACTCCTTGGTTGCCTTGGCAGGATGCTTCCTGTAATTGGGGTTTTGGAGGACCTGATGACAATCCAGCTGTTGTCCTCTGGAAGAACGAAGAAGGTTCTATTCACTAATTTTACATCACCTCATCCATTAGTCCCTTACTGTACTGAAGTCAGTCTGTATCCTTAGGAGAATAGTGGTGCCCCAAACCATTTTGGGGGACCACTTTTTATTTGTTTGTTGAAACTGTCAAGAGTTTTAACCAAGTAGAAAGTCATGCAAATGTCATAATTCAAAAGTCTGAGCAGCAACACTGAAACCTCTGTATAGGTTGAAGGATCCTGACATTCTGTGATGGAGGATAAGGGTGAAGAAAGTTGCACAGTCACTGAACAAGAAGCCAAAAGCCAAGAAAAGACTTCAGATGAAAACAAAGATTTTGTATCCAACGTGGAATCCAGCAGAAAAAAGTATGGTTTGGAGTGAGAACACTGGCACCAGCATTGACGGCTTTCACTTGGTACCTTGAAGAATTTGTGTATAGAGCAGAGGAGAGGTTCAAGACAAGAACCTTGGTGAACTCCTTGGAGGTTGGGCATAGCAGAGGGGGAAGAAGTAGAAGAAACCAACTAATGTGCCTAGAAAGTGAAGCTGTAAGTAGATCAATTATGACCTCAACAAAAACAGCCTTGAAGCTTCTCTTTCCCATTTACTCTAGTTTTGCTGTGGTCACACTTACAATGTTTCACATGGTACCGATGTTCAGGTAAAGATCATCTGAGTAAAAAACAAACATTTCATTTATTAAAGAGAAAAACGTTGTCCAAGCAAACATGTCCTTGTGTGGAAAAGTAACACCAGCCCTTGTTAAACCATGTATTAACTGTGATTAACCAATGTTTCTGGTTTAATTTTACTGGAGAATAAATTCTGCTCTCTGTCAGAAAATCCTGCAGGATAACGCCCGGCCATGAGTTCACAAACTAAAGGTTTTAGGGTGGCCAAATTAAACTCCTGACTTGAATCCAGTTGATCATGTCCTGAATCAGTTCATGTTTGAAAAGATACGGAAACAATATTGCAATGAAGACTGTTGATGATAAGAGCCAGTTATTATATTTAGAGGGAAATGTCTTTTTCCACATAGGATCACATAGCTATACAAAAAAGTGACTTGTGCATTTACTCGCGTAATCTTTGTTTATTAAAATTTGTCTGATTACTTAAAATTATAATTCAACAATGAACCAAAAACAGAAGCAAACTGTAATGCAAGAAATTATTTTTCACAATACTCCTGTCACAAATGGTAAAATGACAATCACTGCAGAGAAATTACTCTGTTAGTTAAAAGTGGGTTTGTTTTGCTGCGTTGAACTCTTTATGTAATGCTGCTCCCATGAGGTTACTGTAAAATAAAGTTAGGAGTGGTCAGATGTAGCGCTGCTGATCACACCTCAGTTTGGGTGAGACATCTTTACTAAAATCTCACCCATTATGCATTTAGTTTATCTCCTGGGATTTTCGGATTAGCCAGGATGCCAAGCATTAAACGTAACATCCAAAGGTCGAGGAGACTTGAAAACACGCTTCCTTGACGCTACACATACTTAACACCGGATGCTCCTTAAGCTGTTTAAAAGCTTCCCGCTCATTTGGAAAATTACCCTGAACTTTACTCTCCATCGGGGAGTAGCTTCATATGCCTTGAACAACCTGAACCGCTAACGATCTCAGGCCACAAGCAGCTTCATCTGGACAAACTTCACATTTGTGATTTGTCAAGCTAGAAGGATTTCATGACAAAAGTGTGTTTCATATGTTTTTATTTTATTATATGTTTTATATGACACTCTGAAATAGCAGCAAAGGGTGCTGCTATTTACAGTCTATATACAGTCTGTTGTCTGGCAAAAACCCAACTTCTGTGACCTTTTTGTAGGATTTCTTGCTAAGCGAGTGACTATAAATCAAACGGGGTGCTTCATTCCAGAGTGAATTTTTTTTTATTATTATCTGCCCATCATTTTTTATCTACATCAAGCAAACTCAGACAACACATTCACCAAAAAATGTTCAAGGCAATGTCAAACAGATGGGTAATTTGTTTGGATGGTTATTTTGGTCACAGAACTTGTGTCTTTTCATGGGTTTTGGTCGATTATGTCCATGTTGCTAAAGCAGAAGCTGAACCAATACAGGGACAGCCTCCTTTGGGGCAGTGGCTTGACCTGGCGGCAGCAGACTGGGACAGGAAGGGGTCCAACACCGCCACCGCATGGCCTTATGGCAGAACTGCTTCCATTTTACTGTCCATTCATGAACTTCCAGTGTGGAGCGTAAAATCCGTTGAAACTATCACCTCCTCTTGGCAGCGTAGAGGTGAAGTTTGATGGGTTGAGTCGGTGGAAGTGGGGTGAACCATTTCGGCAGTAAAGGCAGTGTCCAGGTCCTTTAGACTCTAGCTGCCGTTTGGTCTCATTCTTCTGTCCTGGAGGTTTTTCCCCAAATTCATGGTCATGGTGGCTACAGCATAAGTGGATAAAATCATGATGGTGCTCCCCACGAACTGAGAGGAGGCTCCCCGCTTTGGCACGAATCTCCAGTGAGTGGACGCATGTGGCCTCTGGGCGTCCGTTGCCTCCACCGTCTGAGAGACTGGCTCCATGGCTGCTGCTCCTAAAGGCGGCTGCTGAAAAAAAACAACTCCAAGATGGATCCAAATGTCTTTGCTTCTCTCTCTTTAGTCAGGATGACGGACAGTGTTCTTCTTGCTGCAGCTCGGTGCACCTGCTTCTCTTTCCCCCTCCACAAAAACGTGCTTCTTTATCTAGTCGGCCTTGTTTGCACACGTCAAATCCTCAGACTCAGCTTGATGCCGGAGTGCGTCAGCGGCAGCTGTGGGAGGTCGACAGGATAAACTAGGTCTCCTGTCCCCGGTGCAAACTGTTCAGACAGGACTCATTAATAGAACAAACCAAAGTCATTGAGTCTCCTTAATTGTGCTTGGGGATCAATGTCGGCTCAGGCAGATCATTTAACCTGTGAGGAGCAGGATTAAGTCTCCTGTTCCAGTCAGACATTTACATGCACTCTTATCACGGGCATGATGATAATTTGAGGCTTCTATACTTTTGTTTGAACTCATTTTTTTTCTCAAAGTAAAATAACTTAACCTACAATGATTTTGAAGAAGGACTGAGGTTCTCCAGAAGCATCTCCACACCCCTAACCCTGACATATTTGCACTTCAAACCCCTACCTAAGTGTTGGTGTGAAGGACTGAGTGGAGCATTGGGAAGGGAGGACTGCAAGGGGGTAAAATGCTCTCCTCCTTGTGGGGTAGATAGGTAATTCCGTCTACCCCAACAAAGGCAGGAGGTCTTGACACATCCACCCCAGGGCCAATGGCACCTGTGTCACCAAGTGACAGGTCTGGAGCCAGAGACAATCACCAAGCCCCAAAAATTGAACAGAACTGGGACCAAGACCTCAAAGACCTGAAAGCCCAACCCTAACCCCAACCTAACACCTAGCATTAGCACCTAGCACCTAGGACAGACAAATGCAAAGATCTGGACAAAGATGACCCTTCATTGTGTCAAATGAAAGGTCAACAATGAATCAAATCTTACAAACAGTGTGCTCCAAATATATACAAGGCTAAAAACTTTGTACAAGTTTAAAACCATTTCATTTTGATGTCAGAAGATCTGAGCCTGTTCCCAAAGCAAATCCTTTCCACTCAACATGTTTTATCTTGACAATCATCTCTTATATCCAGGTTAATATCCTATTATCTGACCTCATTTACTCTTCTAACATCAGCAGCCAGAAAATGAGACACTGACTCACGATTCAACCTATTTTGTGACGTTAAGGATGGGAAAAAGAGGCACAAACAATTAACAGATCTCACCGCTCGAGCATGTGTTGGTGCACCTTTGGGAAGATGTACAACTTGACAGACACCCAGACAGATTCATTTCAGCGTGGCGGCGGCATGCTCGGCGGCGTTAGACGGATGGCTGAGGAGAATCCCGTCAAACAGCTCTGTTTGTACCATAACTCTGCTGCAGAGATGACACCTGCAGAGGGGAAGCGGATCAATAGGCGAGACAAATCATGCTGCTCCTTTCACTTTGTCAGCAGCGCTTCTATCCTCAGGTGTGCCTGAAGCATCAAATCGCATCATATTTTATCCTCCATTTTAGTCAAATCATACACACAATACCGCATTATCAAATGCTGCTTGTGTACTCGCTATTCAAGTCTGTCTCCTTTATTCCAATAATGCTATTTATAGAGCAACAAGGTTTATATAAGATCAGGTGGTATAAAGAACATGTGTCCAAATACAGCTCACCGTAGCTTTTTCTGACTCAAGACGTCAAACTATATCAGTCTGTCCAGTTTGTTGTGATTCCACAATTGCAGAAATTCATGCAAAAACAACAATTATCAGCATTTCTTCCGAGCTATTGAATAGTTGTGAGTTTATTGCAAATTTTCTGCAAAAATGGTCGAAACATTTAATTTGAGCAATGCCAACTCCCACCTGCAGGTGGCAGGATTTCTTACTTCTTCAAAACCACCGCATCAGCCTTACTTGATAAGTTAAAATCCGGATCGATGTGGCGAGTGACGTCATACATCTCCGCATATATCGCAAAATTCATTGCAAATATATATAAATTAGCACAAAATCTGTGATTTCGATTGCAAACCCCCAAAAGGAAAAAAAAAAAAAAACACAATCGTGAAATCCTGGAGGAACTGATCAGTCTTATTTAATTTGAAGAAGTGCTTATTGAATAGCTATTTATTAATATTTTATAATTTGTTAATGTGTTTTACAACAGTCATAATCTTAATATGGCCCAAAATGAAAACCACTTTAGCCTTTCCGATCTATGGCAGAAATAGGACTCCGCTCAAAAAAGTATTGAACACAGAAAACCTGTTGCTCCTTATTCTGTGGCGTGCCTCACAACAAAAATGTACTAATACAGCATTTTCCAACACTGTCAACACACAAGGTGAAATAACTGGATTTTTCTGCAAGGAAAGCAAAGCACAGCGGTGGCTGCGTCATGTTGTGGGGATGCTTTTCCTCAGCAGAGACATGGACTCTGGTCAGAGTAGAGAGAAGACGGAGGAATACCAATAAAATAAATTGAGGTTTGTGGTGGTAATTGAAAAATGGAAAGAGAAAAAAAAAGGATCATATCTTTGCGAGCAAGAATATACGATCACATCTGTGACTTTTCACATCAGGCAGATTTGTGTTTTCTGCTTTTTGGATCCAGCCAGGTTCTGCTTTGGAACCGTTTGCGTCACCGTAATTAGATTACCTGGGCACTCTGACAGGTACGTCTTTATCTCCACATGTCTGGAGAGGGAAGCGCAAATGTTAGCTTAATCTGCTTTAAAGCTCCACCCAATTACAAGTTGACCTAAGATTTGGAAACTGAACCAACTTTTTTTAAAAAAATAGCGTCTTAGATATTTACTCAGTTCTGTTCTCATTCACGTTGTTAAACTTTTTATTTTTGCTTTAGTTCAGAGCATTGATTAATATTAAAACATAGTGATGACATCATGAGAGGGAAGAACATAATGTGGAAATATTGACGACATTAACCAGGAAGTCGACGTGTCACGATAACAAATTGTTCCAGTAATTTTTATATAAATGATAATAATGTTGTTTTGAGATTATTTTCAAGTAAAATAACAACATAAGAATGTAAGTTCGCCCTCTCAAACGCCAATAAATATTTATTTTGTACAGAACACTCTGCACTGGAACTGGAAGATATCTTAAATATCCAAAATAAACAATAAATGAAACAGAAACAACAGAAACTATAAATAAAATGGTTTATGATGCCTCAGTTAAAAAAAAAAAAAATGACCACAAGAAAATATTAATCATTAGAAGATTAATTGGTTAAAGTGACAGGCTTAGCAGCAGGCTAAAGCTCAGGCGAAAATTATTCTTCCAAATGGACAATAACCCAATTACCCAAAATGGCGTAAGAGCAACATAGAACAAGAAGAAGAACAAGAACAAGAAGTAGAAGAAGAAGGTAAATTAGTTGCCAGAGCTGAACAGGTGTTTGTGTGTGAATAAACCTGACTCAGTTACACACCTGTTCTGTTTGGAGGAATGGGCCAAAATTCAAGAAAATGACAGTGAAAACAAAACTCAAATTGTTAAACCAAAGTCACACAGTTTCAAAAGTCAATTCTCCCAAATAATGATAATAAAATATGTACAAATCTGAAATGAAGAGATTACAAACAGATCTAAAGAGATTAATCTGACCTGTGGAGGTTTCCATGACGTCACTCAATTCTGTTTGTTTGAGGCATTGCCTTGATAAAAAGCCACAGCTGTGCCTCAGATTAACTTAATTAACCCAATTCACAAATCTGTTAAAGGCACAGTAGCCTTAGTATATTTAAAGTTTTACATTTGAAAGAACGTAAAAATAAAAATCTCTCACTCACTTAGTAGGAATATTTTTGCTTTTATTGAAAAAAGTATAAACTCTTTTCTGGAACTCAGTTACACTGAGGGTGTAAACTTTTTTCTCTTTTCGGCAGCAAAAATGACTGATTCTTATTTTGAAAAACATTGTTTTCTCGTGTATGTTTAAACGTATGCATGTGTATGTGTATTCTTGTTTTGTTTTTTAGAGATATATTTAACTATCGTAGCAGGTATTTTCACGTGTTTGAATATTAAAAACTACATGTCCGTCCACTTTTAGATGATACTCTTAGCGCAAACACTCCCATACCTTCCATTCAGTGCGTGTCTTTCTTTTAATTGGTCCGTATGAGTTTCGTCTGATCCTCTCGCAGAGTAAATTTGTCATGGACAACACGCGCGCGCCGGTGTGAGCTTAGTGACGTCCAGCTGGGAAACGCCATCGGGCCGCCAGCAGGTGAGGCGACCGGAAACACTGCAGCCAACAGGATTACAGGCGATACCTGCTGCTCCTGTCTGCTACTCTAACAGGTGACATCAGTCCGTGGGTGCGTGGACTAAAAGCAATGTTTCGGGAAGACACGAAGGAGGGCTTTAAACGTAAAGGATCGTTATAAGAAGGACCTAATGCCTTGTTGCCTTTTCATATTGAAGAGATAAACAGAGAAATTACATATTGTTTTCCATTTAAACAACCGGAAACAAAGGCTGACTTAGCTCAACACCTGACGTCCTGGCTTTAGAGCTCATCCTCTGAGCTCGGGTCCTCTACCAGAGGCCTGGGAGCTTGAGGGTTCCTCCAGTATCTTGGCTGTGCCCAGAACTG